GTTTGTTGTTGGTGGTGGTGTGTGTGTGTGTGTCTGTGTGTGTGTGTTTTATTTTGAGGTGGACATTTCAAGGGCAAAGGGTTGTTATGGAGGACAGGGAGATGAGTGGGACTGCGGTGCATGATGGGAAACTCAAAACAGTTTTTTTTTTTTAAATCAACAAGCCCCTTTGAGTCCAACAGAAAGAATGAAAGAATTATTTGGGGAAAATTAAACCAAACAATCCCTTAAATGCTCTCTCAATGAACCCATCTAGTAAAAGTAAATGATGAGAAGCTACTTAGATTTTCCTTATTAAATCCTAGCCATAAAATGTGGGTAAGTGAAACAGACTGTGTACATTCACTCATTTCTTGATTGGAATTATTGTCCATCCCCGTTTACTCTACATCACACTGGTACGGGGCCTGGGAGACCAAGGACTGAGGAATACCACCCCACACCTCACCCCTGTCACAGCAGTACTTCCTCCCCTCGCTCCTATGAGAATATGCAACCTTGCCTTTTGAATTTCCGTGACCATACAGAGACATCAGTGTTTCATCATGAGGTGCCTGTGATTGAAGACCACTTAGAGGCTCTTTAGAGTTTAGAAGATAGCCCTAAACCTACCAACTTTTGCAAGGAGAGGTTAATGCACTGCAACTGAACTCTCTAGAAGCAGAAGGAGGGCCTCCAACCTAACAAGAAACTATGATACCATTACTCTATTTTCATAGCAGCAACTAACAGGTAGGTAATTATAAAGAACTGACTATGTGTTTAGTGCTTAAAGGACAAATAGGAAAATCTCAGGGAAACCGGATACTGCTAAAAAGTACTTTTCCAACAGTTTTCAAGATGTCCTACTAAAAGGCATATTTAGCAAAGCAGATAGTCAAGTTGTTTTCATCTGCCATGACTACAGGGTTGCAGAACTGTTGAAGTAGAAAATTATAATTGCAGGTATCATAATTCCACATGAGATCGTCTATAATCAATCTCGTCAAGAAAGCTAACCAGCCATATAATTATATTCTATTGAAGAAAGACTCGAAGTTTGATGCAATGATCTCACTGGGCCAGCTTTTGCTTACTCTTCTGGGCAAGGCTTAAATGTCATCTCTCTCTGAAGAGCTTTCTAGATTCCTGCCCTACATTAGTTCCTCCAATATATATGCTCAACTAAGTTCTCAAAATAATGGTTGATAAGTTCTACAGTAATTACAAGTTCAGCCATAATGGTGGCAATATGCCGGCTCTCAGTGTCTGATCACCTTTCCCAACTGCCCTTCGTCCACAGGACCAAGACTGAAATTTCCTACTGTTAATCCTGGAAGAGTGTCATAGCTGTGGGCACTGAAAAGACAGGACCAAGGCTATAAATAGTCAGGACAAGGCAGTGATACGAGACTATCTTGGCACTAAAATGTTCCTTAGGATGTTGGTGGTAAAAGAGACAGAGTGTCTAGCACCAATGGATCCCTGGATATCTGCACAACACATTCAGCCTTGAAGCAGGATTCAGACCCCAGGGCTTGCCAAACTTCCCCACATCTTGCTGCAAGGCATCCATTGGGAATGTCTTAGACTTGTCAGTAATTTGGTCCAACTGCTCCCCTACTCACATTGTAACTATTGGCTTATCTTTCCCACTCAAATTTGAAGAAAGCAGCATTGGTTCCTCATGTAATTCAACTATACACGAGAATACACAGTGATAGGTTCCCCAAAAGAATATGGACTAATGGCAGTGGTACCAAGCCTTATTAAATTGCTATTTCTAAATGCAGTAGGTCTTTGGTTCAGCCAGAAGCTTAAAAGCAGTCGTAGTAAATCCTATGAAAGTTAGAAAGCCAAAATCAGGACAAAGGAGACCCTGGGAATTCAAGTTGGGGTGGAGTGCCTCGGGGCTTCCTTCTTGCTTCTGGCATGACTCTTGCAGGGTTGCAGGCAGGTCAGATTTCCCTGGACATTTCCAAGGCCATGGAGCAGGCCAGGGACTTATCACCACAACAGGATTTTAGGGTCAATTTGGTTGGCATGCAGAATGGCTTTTTTCCAGTTATCTGTTTCCTGACTCTGACCTCAAATTAAGGACAAAAAGAGAGACTAAGCTGCCTTAAAGAACCTTTCCCTTTCTGAATCAGAATGCATGTGTTGGTGGGGACAGGAGGGGGATGATGGAGGAGAGGGTACTGCAAGTTGAATCACTGAGAAACCAGAGGCCCTTTCAGATCTTCACATGACACCCTGGCACGTCTATCTTCTCTTTGCTTTTCCTATTATATGTGACTCATCAAGGCTCAGCTCTGGTTCTTTTTGTTTCCTTTGTTATAGTGTTGGGGGCCAAGGTAGTAAAATGTTCAACCTCTGGTACATCCCTGGTGCTCTCAAGGTTGTTTGGGTAAGTTAAGTTAATCACTTACTAGTATTCTTTTTGTGCCAGGAATTTACAGGTAGTATCTGATGTTCCTAGTGACTACACATGGTAGCCATTTATTATTCCTAGTTTTTCAGATGGACATCATAGGGAGAACAAATAAGATAATTCATCAAGAAGGTAAAAGATCACCTAACTGAATTGAAGGCCCACTCACTATGAGGAAATTTATGTACAGCTGCCTGTGAACAGCCACACCATGTTCATCACAGCCGAAAATAGAAACTGCACTGATAAGTGGAACCCAGCAACTGAAAAATGGAAAAGAAAACATGGCCATCCATGCAATGGAGCGTTACTCAGACATAAAAAGAATGAAGTATTGACACACTGAATAATATAGAAGGCCAGGGGAATAGATAACAAGTGAAAGCCAGCAGGCAAGTCACGTGTTGAGGAATTCCATGTGACTTGAGCACATGGGATTCCATTTAGAAGCAATGTTCAAAATAGGCAAATCCATAGAGTCAGAAGTAGGTCACTGGTTGCTAGGACCTGGATGCTGGAGGAATGTTGGAAGGGAGGTGACAGCTAAAATGACCAAGGTCTCATTATAGGCCATGAAAATGTCCTAAGATTTATTGAGGTGGTGGTGACTGCATTTGTTTGTCAATGCAAAAACCAATGACAGTTGCACTTTAAATGAGCAAATTATATAGTGTGTGGGCTATATGACCATAAAGCCATTATATATTTATATTTAGAAAACTGTACAATTACAATAAACCCAAATTATACATTTTGTATACAATCAATAAATATCTCCGTAGTGATTACGCCGAAGAACCTTATGACTATTTTGAAAGCATCCTAGCTCATTTAAACCCAACTATCTCATTGTGGTGTCTATTACTCAGAAAGTGTGCTGATTTTTTATAATATAACCTGAAGTGTCCCCCAGATTCAACTATCTTTGAGTTGCTGACAACCTATAGAGTTTCACAGCCCTGCTGTGCTGAGTCCCACCTATACAGCACCCAACAGAACAAACTGTCAAAAGAGTCACCTGATTAGCTGACAACACATGTTATAGCTCAGTATTAACTGGTCCCTCATCACCCACACTAAACCAAACCCAGGCCTGCTGAAATACTCCAGTGGGACTCAGAGCTACCCTTAAATGAAGATGTCACTCCCAGGGCCCTGAGATGTTGGAAAAAAGAAGACAATTTTTTTCCCTCTTTACAAGAAAATTCCCAAAAGCAGGTCCTAGCAACAATGATCTATTTATAGCTACATTAGTCCTCAGGTGGAACATGTATAGGAAGAAAAAATTTTAATACATTCCAGAGTTCAAATGAAATATAGTATCTAAATCCTGTTTTCTTGACTGTATTTACCTTTCTATGTGGACAATTAAGGACCAGTAGAATGAAGGACTGCCTGTTTTCATTTTTTATGCATGGGTGTTCTGCCTACATGTAAATCAGTGTATCATGTGTATGTATGGTGCCTCCAGAGGCCAGAAGAAGGCATCAGAGCCACTGGAACCAAAGCTTCAGAAGGTTGTGAGCTGCTGTGTGGGTGCCAGTGACTGAAGCCTGGTCCCCTTAGCAAGTGCTCTCAACTGCTGAGCCATCTCTCCATCCCAAAGAACTGATATTTTAGTGAAATTTTAGAAAAATGACTATAAAACTAAGCCAACTGGAAGTAGTATACCAAGAGAATAAAAAACGGATGCACCAGAGTTTGGAGTACACGCAATGCAAGACGCTTTCACAGCAAAGACAGCGGGGGGGGGGGGGGCATACTAGGACATTATGATAGCAGTAATTGCATTTCATCTAGTGACAATCACCTGCAGCGTCTGCCCATGATACTGTCTGCACATACAAAGAATGTATAAAAAGATAAGACCCTGGGGATTTGAGAACTGAAATCACTCTCGACATTATTCAGGTTGTATTACTCTGTCAATGTTAATGCCTGTGATGTGCTCCCAGAGGGGTCACGGCTTGTCATAACCAATAAATACATAAGATGGAGAGGAGAACTCATTGTAGAGACATCAACTTTTCTCACACGATCCACAAAGACAAGACCATAATGGAAGCTGCAGTTGGCTTCGCTACTTGCCTGAGATTAGCATTCACCCGTGCATCTTCTGCTTGAGATTTCTGGGCAAACTTTCCAGCTACTCCTTCCCTGCCAGGCACATTGAACTTATCTAAGCCCTCATGGTTCCTTGATGACATAAGGTAATAGAAAATGAAGCATCCCTACACTGGGAAATTTTAATGACAGATATTTTGCTCTAGGCACTTCTCTGAATTTATCACCAAGAATATCTACCACATGAAAGCACCTGTAGGTTGCTACCATTAAAAGAGGAAATGCTGGGCCTATTCCTCCTATTTGAGAGCTTAGCATCAGTTACCAGGTATAAGAAATAGGGAACAAAGTGGTCCAGGTTCTAATTCCATCCTCTGCCTGTAATGGGGTAACCTTTATTAAGGGCTTCTTCTGCTGCTGCTGTTCAAAGTGAAGAGCACGGAGAAGAGCACCCCTACATGCTTCTGCACAATTTGCCCACCAGCTTTGCCTGATCCACCTGTTTCAGTGACTCCCCTGCAAGTACCTGTTTCTTGGTCACAGTGCCATCCACGGGGTCGACATATTCAAAGCTGTCGGTCTTTGAAATACTGTAAATGTGGCTCCCCACAGCAAACTGCTGGCCGATGAAGGACTTGTCTGTAACCAGGGCCTCCAGGTCCCTCATGATGTAATACGTTGCCTTGGGCTCCAGTCCCTCGTAGTCAAATCTGGTGGGGGAGAGCAGGACACAGGAAAACAAAACCCAATCAGAGGATGGGCGTTTGGGTGGGTCCCTCATGGATCTGATTCCAGGAGATACAGAAAAGCACACTTAATAGGTCTTGCTTTCTTCTCAAAGCCTTTCTGATGCAGTCTCCTCATGGCAGCCTTATAAAAGTCAAATTATTTGCTCCCTTTGACTTTGCTCTGCTTCACATCTGCCCCACCCCCAGGACTCAGTAAGTATTTAATGAGGTTTAGCTTCAAGTTTAAGTAGCTGTTGAAAAGAAGCTAATAAGACATCTATAAAATTGATGCCACAAGGTGAGAGAACATCTCTTTCCTATCCACCGAAGATAATTAACTAAAAGAATCTGTAGGCTATCTCAGAGACAAGCTGTGGCTCTTTAGAGTCTAGCCTGAATCAGGAACCCACATGCTAGGTGAAGAAATGTCACAGAAGGTTCTGACCAAAAGCTTAGTTAGGTCTGATGCTCTAGCTTTATTCATAGTTTGATTTCTGTGAATGTGAGCATATCAGGTGTGTGTGTGTGTGTGTGTGTAGAGAGAGAGAGAGAGAGAGAGAGAGAGAGAGAGAGAGAGAGAGAGACAGTGAGTTGGATTGTGTTTGAAGCTATTCTAAGCTTTATGTATGTTCGTTTATTTGTTTGTTGTTGTTGTTGTTGTTGTTAGTAGTGGTGACTTTTTTCTTTTTTGGTTTTTTGAGACAGGGTTTCTCTGTGTAGTCCTGGCTGTCCTGGAACTCACTCTGTAGACCAGGCTGGCCTCAAACTCAGAAATCCGCCTGCCTCTGCCTCCCAAGTGCTGGGATTAAAGTTATGCACCACCACTGCCTGGCTGTTTATTTGTTAAGTAGTAGTTGAGCAAATTAAAGATTTAAAGATTGACCAATATATTTAAGATATTATTTATGATGGCATTGGTACTGAGACAGACAGATTGATCAATGGAATAGAATTGAAGGCACACAAATAAAACCAAACACTTATGGACACTTGATCTTTGACACAGAAGCAAAAAAATATACAATGGAAAAAAAGAAAGCATCTTCAATAAATGGTGCTGATCTAACAGGCAGTCGGTTTGTAGTAAAATGAAAATAGATCCATATTTGTTACCTTGCACAAAGCTCAAGTCTAAGTGGATCAAGGACCTCAACATAAAACCAGATACACTGAATCTAATAGAAGAGAAGGTAGGAAAGAGCCTCGAACTCATTGGCACGAGATTCGGGGAGGGGAATTTCTGAAACAGAACTCCAATGGCTCAGGCTCTAAGATCAAGAGCTGATAAATGGGACCTCATGAATTTGCATCACCCCTTGGTTCTCGTGCTGACACCTGACCTGCTCCCGCCACCTTGTCCTTGCTGACAGTCCTCTCCTTCACGTCTGTCTTAGGCTTCTTTGTGCCTGGTACACTCAAAGAGCTGCCTTGTCCTGTTCTTTCAGTCTCCCCTGAAAGTGCCATTCCTGAGCGTGCATCCATTCACCTGGGTAGCTTGCCTTTCTCTCCTTGCCTGTCTCCACGGCACATTTTCTTTTGCATTGTCTTGTGGCTCCCCACTCTTGTTCCTCTGTTTGCTTACTTCTAGTCTGCCTTTGCCCACCCTTCAGAATGAGAGTCTCAGAAGCACAGATCCTAGCTCTCCCATTCTCCACTGTTTCCGGAGCTATGTGAGCATCCTGGGATGAGGAAGCAATGAGGGAGGGAGGGGGACAAAAAGAGGGAGAAAAGGGAACTGAGCACACTATAAAAATCTCTGGAGAACTTGAAAGAAATGTCACAATTGTTCATTCAAAAAAGTCTTCCTAGCCACAAGCTATTTGAATTGAATAGTAGGTTTGGGGTGGTAATCAGAAGAAAAAAAAAAGATTGAAATTATTCTTGGCTTGTTTATTTTGGAGTTTGAAATATGATGAGGCATACCACATAGCTGGCACAACGCCAGGCACCAGAGCTTTAAAAAACCATCTGCTCATTGGTTTGTTTGGCTTTCCCTCCCCCCCCCTTAGTCACTAATATAAAGTAATTGTCTCTCCAAACATCACATATTTGTCTCCAATTCCAACTGGCACACCATGGCAGGGATGGGTATTTGAAAATGGAGCTGGAGGAGGGGCAGCTGAGCCCAAATGGCTTTAGTAGGACTTCACCTCGGAGCTTTTTGCCTCATAGAGAACATTCAGAATGAGCTGAAAAATGGGAACTCTGAATATTTGGTACAACTTTTATCAAGTTGAGAGTTTTAAAGATGGTCAATAAACATCAGAACACTTGCCAAAATAGAGACATGGAACGACACTATATCCTCTTCTTTCTCCTACACCAAGTATTTCTTCCTCAGCTTTGGAAACAAGATAACAGGAAAATCTTTATAACACTGTCAGCAAATGTGTTTAGACATGGGATTCCCATTAGAGATAACTGCTCTAGGAGGGGAAAGACCCATATGAGAGCTAGGCCTAGTGGTGTGTACTTGAATTTCCAACACTTAGGGAGACTCAGGGAAAAGAATTAAATATGAATTCAAGGCTAGCTTAGCTCTATGGTAAGATTAAAATAAAATTATACACACACACACACACACACACACACACACCATATATAATATGGTCTTCCTCATCAGTAAGTGTTCTCATGCATCAAACTATTGCCTCAAAATCTTTCCTGTCTTATCCATCTTCCTGCCTCTTTCTGCTTGCCTTGATATATATATATGATTTCGTCCCTGACAAGAAAACTGTGACCTAGAAAATAAATTATTTCAAAGCCTCTTCCCTCTGACTTGCTATTTGCTGGAACTGCAGGAGATATTTGCCTTTTGCTGTACCTGTTCCCTACTCCCTTCTTCTTAATCTCTGTGATCCTGTTAGACAGAAATTTGAAGTACAGTTCAATGTCTTGTAAGAAGTCAAATCTCCATTGCATAGTATTCTCTAATATGGTATTGTTATGAAAAGAGCAATTAGCATTACAAGCTCTTGGCCACAAAACATGAAGTATATTATAAATATACTTATTATTACACTGTTTCTTCAAAACACTGGTAGGAACCTAGATCGACATCCCACAAATTATGAAGAGCACATCTCTGACTTAGAGTAATCTCTCTGCTAGCTGGCAAGCACAGTGCATTTTTATCAGGTCGGAATCTTTGTAAGATCTTAATACAACAGAAGAATTTCTCATGTCAACTAGTCTTTGAATATAAATTAAACAAATATATAGATAAAATCCCCCAAGAATCAGAGGTGTGTGGCTCATGTTAGAAATATTCATGAGCAAGACAAGATTCTACCTTAGAATTTCTGTTTTATGACTCAATAAATAACGTGCTGGTTTATTTATTGTCACATTCCTAGTCATTGTAACTAGCCAGGCATCGAAGCTATTATGACTGTTGTCTGGATTTCCCAGAACATTGCAGTCCCTTAGAGTTTAATAAGCACCATCACCGTCTTCCTTATTCTCTGGTATTTATCTAAGTAAATCACTTCTCAAAAGAAGAAACAATCACCATATAAGGGAAACGTCTAGCGCTCTTTGCCCCTCAAGCCCTTGAAATTCAACTGAACACTCAAAGCTGATAACGACACACAAGCAAAGCAGAATGAGCCACAATCTCTGCTTTAACACATGGAGTCTGAGGCTACCCCACACATAGTTGCCCATAGTCAACAATTTTTCTATACCCCCTTTCCCCTACGCATAGCTTGGCATGAGACACATACCTGGCATCTGGTACACATAGCTAGGTAGCAAAACCTGGAAGGTTTCTGCTCTTTCTTCCTTTGCCAACAGGAAATGGGTAGATCACCTATCCTGAGTTCTGGCCCACCATTCTTTCGTCTGCCTCCTTCAGAGGTACTATTTTCTTCTCTGTGTCTCTTTTCTTAAGTGTAAGCTTCTAGCAAAAATCTGGGGCTTCTGAACTATATGAGTAATACAAAGAGCCCCAGATCAGCCATGTTAGAATCTTTCTAATATGTGGAAATTAAACCAGGTTGTAAAACGATTCCAAAGCCACCAAACTGTGGACTTCTGTATCTCCTCATTCCATAAAAAGATGGATTTGGGACAAACAAAAAAATATGTCTGCTTTGACTACAGGACTCACAGCTCCTGTGGCTCCACAATTTGATACCCTCTTGGTGTGACCACTCTTTGCCTTATACTTTCTATGAAAAGATTAGAGAGGGTTGTCTCCAGGGCAAGTACAATCTGTTCCTTAGTAGCCTTGACACACTCTCAAACAGCCAGCCCTAGCCTTCCAGTCCCTCAGATGCTTCTAAAAGATGCTTTCTCCTCAAATTCTAGCCCACTGATTTTAGAAAACATCCCTAAGTGTAGCTCTCAAGACTTATGCAGAGAGCCTGACCCTTCTCACCTGCAGTAGTAGTGGCGGCCATATTTGGCCCAATGATCTCTAACAATTTCCTCCACGCTCTGTTTCCGGGCAGCAATAATGGACAGCCAGACCAAGACAGCCCAGAGGCCATCTTTCTCTCGGAGGTGATCAGACCCTAAGGCAGAAAGAGAGATTCTGTTGAAGGTTCTCTCCTATGGAAAAGCAAAGGGAACAACACCATTTAGCTACTTGGAGATATATTGAAATGGCTGTATATGTTGACCCACTATGCAGACTTGGTATGTTATAATATAGTTGGCTTTTTTCCTTTAAAATATGCAACTGAAATTCAAAGAATAGCAAAAAAACACAATAAAAATACTAACAGTTTTTGAAAGAGTTGAAGACCCAAAATGATACAATGTTACCATTTACTCATCATTTTATTTAATAAATATTTGACAACTCCTATAATCATCTAAGCATTTTCATACCTCCTGGGAATAGAGGAGGAAGGAAGGAAGTTCTTTACTCACAGTCTGAATTCAAGTATATGGGGGCAAGCAAGAGCAAAACAGACAGAAGAATATGACACAGGAAATAGGGACAGATGCTTTGAAGAAATTAGAGTAGATGCTGGCATTAGCAGGCAGCAATAAAGGTAGTGGTTTGCCCCAAAGACACATCTTCCTGTAACCTATATGTAGAGGAAATAGTCCTTGCAGGTGTGATTAAGTCGGGGGTCTTGAAATAAGGTCATCCTGGACTTAGGTGGGTCCTAAGTCCAATAACGGTATTCTTATAACCAAAGACATGGAAAAGGAGAAATAGAGCCCCAGGCTGCATAGATGCAGCACCTGGAATTATACTGCTGTGACCTTAGAAGTATACAGAGGCACCTGAAACTGAAGAAACAAGAAGTGATTCTGCCCCCATAGTCCTCAGTGATTAACACAGCCCGACAGCACCTTCATGTTGGATGGATGCCTAGAGTCTGGGACTGAGAGAATACATTTCCGCCATTCAAACCACCCAGCTTGTGCTGAACGGTTATGGCAACCCTAGAGACCAATGCAGTTGTGAAGGTTAGGCTCAATGAGTTGCTCACACCTGAGAATGAGACATCAGGATGCAGAAATGCACACAGACATCTGGAGAAGAAGGCATCCAAGCCGAAGGAGAGCAAGTCCACAGTCCCATAGGCAGGGATGACTTAGAGGCTAAGCGGGGAAGCATTTCTCATACAAATAACACATGCAGCCCAAGGGGAAGTCCACTGTGCCACATGTGCCCAGAAGCTTGTGCTGCAGATATATTTAACATCTGTCTCTTGATCAGGTTTCACTGAAGCAGACAAAGCCTTGAATTGAAAGGAAGGTGCTATAGTGTGAGAAAAAAACATGAGGAAGGCTTTGAAGTGAGAATCCCAACAAGCCTCTGCTGCTTGCCAGGTGTGAAGCATCATTTAGAAGTTACTAATCGGCCGGGCAGTGGTGGCTACACAGAGAAACCCTGTCTCAAAAACCACACACACACACAAAAAAAAGAAGTTACTAATCTTTCCTAGCCTCAATTCCTCATCTATAATATGATACTATCACCAAACTTCTGATCCCATAACAATCTGATTGAGTTCAAAGAGCAGACTCTAGGGTGGTGGTGCATGCCTGTATTCCCAGCTACTCAGTAGGCTGAGACAGCATGGGAAGTTCAAAGTCAGCCTGGACAACATAGTAAGGCCCTGTCTTTTAAAAGGCAGCGGAGGGAGGGAGGAACATCCTAGAGACCGGTTTTGTATGTTCAATTCCTTACCCCCTCACTTCTCTTTGCTATACTTGTATAGAATACAGTAATAGTAACAGCCTCTTCTATATGGCTCTTTCTGGGATTAGTCAACTAAATATCCATAAGAATTTGGAAGTGACTGAGATGTCACAGTGGTTGTGGCTGAGGGTAATTCTCATAAGGTGCCTATAATGCTGATTCCTCAATACCTGCTTTAAAGCACATCATTCTGTTATTAACATGAGCCTCTTTCTTCTTCTTCTTCTTCTTCTTCTTCTTCTTCTTCTTCTTCTTCTTCTTCTTCTTCTTCTTCTTCTTCTCCTTCTCCTTCTCCTTCTCCTTCTCCTTCTCCTTCTCCTTCT